CCGAGCAGCTCCTGTTTCTTGTCCATTGGCCTGCGGGTTAATGAGCCATTATTTTGAGTGAGTAACGCAATTACTGAGTTGGTTTTTATGTTTGCTCTGGCCCCCTTTGATCCTGATTCCAGATTCCATGGATGCGGTTATGTGCTTTAACCCACAAGTTTATGGTTTCCTGTTTCGTTGAGCTTCGTATTGAATGGCCCAAGCTTTTAGTGGCTCAATTTGTTGCAGCTTTTTCCACATTCTTTGCCACTTTGGGCCATGTACCTCGCTTCTTCATGTGCATTATTTACTGATGGCAGTCCATCACCTGGGGGCAATCCACAGACTCTATGAATATGGAATATGTGTAATTGAAATTCGTTTGGCCAGCTTGGGGCTGAATAAAGGTAAACCAAACCCATTCAAGAGGGTGCAAATGTGTGACTGTGTAATCCTTGTGGGATTTTTCCACTCACTCTTATTACCTTTTCCAATTACAATTAAAGCTTAATTAACTCGAATTTCGTATAACCCTTCGAATTATTAATTAACTTCCTGTGAATGACATGTATTTCTACCTCTAGTTACAACATTTACCTAATTCCCTTGTAATTGAACCAATGAATGAAATGCAGTTCATTTATTTTCTTCTTGCGAATTTCCATTAACAAAATTGGCTGAATAAACAAACAAACCTGACCTCTGGCTTCTCCTGTACTATTACGTATACGCAATTTAAATGAATTAAGCTAGAAATACCAGCAAAATTCCCACAGCATGCATTTAAACTCTAGTAAAACGCTTATAAATGAGCATATAAAACTAATTTTTGGCCAACTCTTAGGGGAGTTTGAGGAGTAAACTTCAGATGAAATGGCCCAAACAAGCAGGCATTCAAGAAATGTTTGGGTAAGCAGAAAAACTTTTCTTTCTTAACCACATTTATTTTTCCAGCCACATTCAAGTCATAACATATTGTTGGACAGTTCGGGCATATGTCTGCTTTTAACCAAATTTCATGTGGCTATCTGTAGATTATGAGGGTGTGACAAATTTCTGGCCGCGTTTTGCACTCTTTCATGAGAAATGAAAAAATGTCTATTTCCATTTCAGCGGTGTATCTATTGGATGTGCGTATATCTATCAGATAGTATACTAATTTTAGTACGTCTGGCCTGTCTCTTTAATTTTTCGCTCTCTGTATCTGATGATTTTTGATAGTCAATGTGTGTATACTATATGCGTTTGAGTTTGTGCTTCCCAACTTTGTTTATCTATTTTGCTCTGTTTTTTCTCAGCTGAATATTTACTTGCAGAAAATCTTTTCTGGCAAATCTATTCACTCTGGGCCAATGATAAAAACAGAAACCCACAAAAAATACCCTGCCTGCTGTGAACATGTGTCTAATTTATTAGCTCTCTCTCCCAGACTTTCCTGTTAATATATTTATAGGAATTTATCGACGTGGCTTGAGACGTTGTCGAGATGTTGTTACCGGGATTTTTCCTTAGCCTTATCCTGTCTTCGCCAGGATCCTTCGATGTCGTTCCACTAATCTCATTTCCTCGGCGATTTGCTCACTCGTGTTTATTTTTATGATTCATTGCCAGCAGCCTCAATTTCTAAATAATAAATTGTCTTGCAAGAGACTCCTCTTCGTTTACGAGCTATATAAAATATCTGTGCGCGAAACTTCAATTGCATTTCAACCGGTCCGACAAATTGCCTTGATGGGGATTCATTATTTCGTTTTGCCCCGCCTTAACGAGTCCATTCAGAGACAATCAAACGCGTAAAGAACAATATGCTCGGCGGCCTGTTATTCTTGGCTAGGAGCCCAGGAATGCAGCACTTGACACGCGACTTTGTTGGCCAAGAACAAAGGGCTGAAAGGCGAGTGCCTGTCTAGGGTTTCCCTTGTCTCGCAACATTGTAGCTTGCATGACTTCCTGAAGCGGCAACTTTCCATACAGAATTCCTTGCGAGGGGTCCTTAAAATTTAATTTCAATCAATTCAGAAATTCGCCAAGAAGTTTCACAAAGTTTTTATGTTCCTTAAATGGGGCCACCATGTCTTAGAATAAGGAAACCAATTTAAATCTTTTAAGAGAGTGGCTTCGAAAGCTCAGAGAAATGAAATGGGTTTGCTAATTTGAAGGAGTAATGTAGTTTTGTTTTTATTTGGCTAAGGAAAAAATATATTTTTCTTGATTGTTATTGATGTTTTCTAATCAATATAGATACTTAAGTAAGTGGCATAAATCTAGTCATCTGAAATTTAACTTAAATGAACTTCAACTTTTTCTTTAGGCTGCTTAGCCTTCTTTAAAATATGAAAACCAATTTGGAAAATTCAAGAGAGGGCTCCAGCCTGCCGAGCGAAATGAAAATGTTATGCAAATTACACGAACCACTGTAATTTTATTTTTATCTCTAATGTTGGACAACTTTTTTTTTGGCTTTTTCGGTGTTTTCCAGACGAAAAAGATTTGAGGAACCCAGAGAGACATTCACTCGGCTCGCCTTTGTTTATTGTTATGGCCCCGGCCCTCCGCTCATTTTCCCCGATTCCAAAGTCCTTTTTGTCCTGGCAAGTCCTGTGTGTCCTGTGCCTTGTTTTTCCATCAACTGGGACTGGAGCGCCGCACGTGGTCACATTGTCGGGCTCATTAAGAGACAATTGCTGCAACATGTCGCTGGCAGAGGCCAAGGATACTGATGTTTGCATAGGTCCTTCCTCTGTTTCTTCCCTTTTAAATCTGCCCCTCAGCCCAAATTAACTTGAAATGATTCGACTCAAGTTGCGGTCACAAGTTTGGGATTATCTCTTTCCCGGGAAAAACAGCAGGTGTAATTTATGAAATTACATTTTCATTTTCATCTCAGCACAAAGCCAATCTAAGCCGAGCTGCGATTTCAATTTATTTGGATGATCGTAAAAAGTTTTGACACCATGGTGTCGTGGAAAAAAACAGTGGCATACCATCCGGCTGTAACTTGGATTTCTGTGTGACTGACGGAGCTTGTTAAATTTATGTGCCGCCTAATGTTTCATCTGCTTCGGTGGCGCAAATGCCTGTGGGGCAACTTTTCAACATTTGATGCCGGCTGGCAGCTCGTCGGGGGTCATAACTTTTATTTGTGACCTTAGTGTGTCTCAGCATACTGCGGATGAAACTCTGACCAACTGTCAGAAGAAATGTCCCGAATCATTGTCATTTGGCCAACAAAAGTCCATCAATAATACGCGTCCATAAATCACCGAAGTTGCTGCGGAAAAGCAGCTAACAAAATTTGATCTATGGACTGCAGGGGCGTGGCTGGGGAATTTATTTGGCATTTAAATTTCAATTACTCGTGGGAACCAATTGATTTCGCTACATTTTTCAAATGCATTGAAGGGGGCCTGAATTATTGAAGCGCCTGATTGGAGCCGAGCGTGAAATCCAATCAGTAAAAGTTGAAATCGGCGCACAACACGTGCATAGCATATGAGAAATGCCGCAGTTTCCAACTCGGGTCTAAAATGTATGCATATATGGTTATGCTCCCATGCAACACCCCCCCCCCCCCCCCCCCCTCCCCCCACCACACACACACACACACTCACACACTTTTTGACAGCTGCACCCAAAATTATGCAATGTTATTTTATATTTTCAAGCACAAGCTTAAACTACGAGGGTTGTTTAGATAAATTTGTGGTTTGAGAGTTTGACTAACTAAAGGAAATGAAACTGCCGGAATGGATTTTTAATGTCACAGTTTCAAAGTTGAATTTATGGGATTTGTTGCTGAATTGCAAAAGGCTTTTTATGGTTAGTTTACTCTTGGGACGGTTTAACAAGCCATGTTGTTTGATACTACATAAATAATGTTGTACAAACAACTTTAAAGAAAAGTTTTAAGGACAAAAGATATACTTTTTTTTTCCAACTTTATGAATTTATTTTCCACAAATCGGAAAAATTGCTACTATTGTACATGTTTTTCCTTTAAAAGTGTTATGATGACAACTTCAACTTTGAAATCCTCCCAACAAGTCACTTCTTGTTTTTTTGGTAAAATGACAAGGTAAACGGTTACGGTTTCGATTTCCTTTGCCAATGTGTGTCCTCCCTCGGGTGATTGTGTGGGTGTGCGTGTGTGTTATCACTCATACGCAACGTTGCCGACAGAAGAAAACGAATACAAAAAAGTTGTAAAAGAAAAGTGGCAGACAGAGACCGGGTTGTGGGTTAAAGCCACATCCATGTGGCCCTAACAATAACTGTATTTACGCATCCCATTTTCCCTTCCTCCATTTCCGGTTCCTTTTTTTTTCGTCTCTTTTTTGTTTTGAGTGCCAGTTTGTTGTCGTTCTCGTCGTTCGTTATGGGGAGCTCGTGATTTCACTAGGGAGCATTTTAACTTAATTAGGTGGGGCTGAAACATGCAAAGAATGCCAGTCTAAAATGTGAAAAGAAGTGGGAGGTACTGAATATATAGAGGAATTTACTAAGTAAACTGGGGTGGACTTTAAAGCAACATTTTTTCTTACATTGCATTTGGTTCCGCTTTGTATTACTATGAAGCATTTAAATTCTTATAAAAATATTTTGAACTTCCTATACCATAATTCGCAACATTAAAAAAAATTTCTTCTTTATAAATTTATTTTAAATTTAAATTTTAGAAAGATTGTATAGATTAAGTTTTGAATATGCTAAATTAAATACCTATCAAATTTGAATTTAAAATATAATTTTGATTATACACAATTTTATACATATTATAATAATGAAACAGGTCCACCCTAAGCTAGAATGCCTCAGAAGAACTCCCACGAGCACAGTGATGGTATCGTTAGACTTCAGAATGGCGTAGGCTTATAACTTACCTTTATACGTATGCATTATCTTGTCACTGAGCACTACCTGCCATTACCTAGATCTATGGGCAATTTAAGCCACAATCAATAATGCCAAATGGAGTCATTAATGTTAATTTGCAAATATTTTCCGCTCTCTTTCTTCCTCAGCACTTACGGCCAGGTCATGAGCTCCAGCAGCACAGAAGCTTTTCTTCCACGGCGGACGATGACGAAACGAGCGGTGGCAAAAAGTCGGACAAGCATAAAAAACCGACGACGGGAGGTGAGTGGAATTTTTGGGAAATCATGGGACATATTTACCTTGCAGATATTTTGTAAATATTTTCCTTTAATGCGGATAACTGATTGGATTTGACAATCGTGTGGGAGGGTGCAAATGCGAGCTTATCAATCATTCCCATCGTAGGTCACAGTTCAAGTCAACATGTGGCTAAGCAAGAAGAGGTTGAAGAAAATGAGAAAGAAAAGGAATCGAAATCCAATCATCGTTTTAAGTACCGAAAAGGGGTTCCGAAATCGGAAAAGTTTTTACCGCCTGCCGAAGTTGCAGATGACTGCAACAAATCTGATAATTTGATATCAAGAATTAACAAATTTAAGGGTTTACAAAAAATGAAAATAGTCAAAATTAGAAAGAATACAGAAGTAAGCAAGACTTTACATTTGAAAAAGAGACCATCAACATTTTCAGATCGACAAAAAATACATTTCAGTAGGGAAACAAGTAAGTTTATCAACAACAGAAGGATCTGTTTTTAAAGATGTCACTTTCCTAAGGTAATCTGTTACCAATCAAGAGAAAAACAAGAAGAAGAAAAAAGAAATTGATACTAAACAGAAAGAAAACCAAAAAGAAAATTAAAAACGGTAAGATATAAGATATATTTGGAAACACTTTAAATATTGGCTTTAAATTGCTCTCCAATATGAAATATTTGATGACAAGAAAATTATTTTATTTGTCACCAAAACAAAATGTCATAATTGGCAAATATATGAAACAAATTAATTGTTTAAAACATAATTGATTCAGCGTTGAAATTCCTCTCCCCTTTCTAATCACTTTATTATCACCATAAAGTGTTTACTTTAAATCACACATGTCTATAAATTATCGATTAATTAAAGATTAGTTTGACCAATTAGTGGCGGTTGTGGTCTCTCATTTATCTGCACTTTCAAAGGTGATAGATAGTTTTAGTAACGAAATTGTGCGGGCTACCCATTGGGTTTTGTAAATGAAATGCATAATAAATAATTAGGCGACTGCTGTCACAGCTCGTTAAATAAATTGCATATTTATTTAAGCATAAATTTATAATGTACATGTGAACAAATGTTGTGTTGCGAATTAAATTTAAATAATATATCATACTTTTGGATAGTTTATGGTATAATTTTTTGGCTTTACCTGTAAAGCTAATTAGGCTACCAATATGGTTTACTACGAGATGTTTTTGATTTAAGCTTTAACCCGAAACCCCAAGAAATCGTCGTTGCTGTTTGCAGTTTTCTCTTTGAGCATTAGTTATCGATTACATTTTGTCATCCAGACTGTCGTAGAGCTCGGCATCTGTGGGTATTTTTTCGAGATCCTCCTCCGCTTGAGGTGGTGGTTCCTTGCTGGGATCGTAGACCTCAAACTCCTCGAACTCTATCTCGTCGTATTTGCGCCGCTCATATATGCTTTTATCATTGGCCACATAATGCCGGACTACCGATTTGTCCACCACCGAGTTGCTACTGCTGGCATTGCTTAATCGGCGCTCGGGAACGGGAGCTGCGGGAATGGGAGCAGCTATCGAGGCCTGACTGTGGATATCCACGGGCACTATGATTTGTGGCGAGGCCTTGGCCAGCTTGACGGACTTTGTCACGGCATTTATTTCGCAATTTTCCTCCACTTCCCGTTGCTTTCCAATCATCTGCCGCGGAGCTTCGATGGGCTTCTGGCGCGGAGCTTCGATGGGCCTGCCCTTGGGAGGATTGGTCGTTGTCTTAACCAGCGTGTAGGCCAAGTCAACGTTTTTATTACGGCAAACTTTGTTAGCAGCAGCAGCAGCAGAGGAAGCATCAGGGATCTTCCTATTCTCAGTCACATCGAGACGAATGTTCATGGCCTGACTTTCGTATGTGGGCATCATCATCTCCACAGCGCCATAACCATTCTCCGGCTGACCATTAAAGTTTTCAGGCTTCTCGAACTCCTGCGGCATTTCTCCCAGGACATTGATGTGATTATTTACTGTCACTTGACGTCGCGTTAGCTCCTCCTTTTCCTCGGGCTCCTTACTCGATGCTATCTGACTCTGACTGTTGATGGTCAGTTGGACATCATTGCCCGCCGAAGTCTGATTCGCCTCGAAGTGATGAACCATTTTTCGAACAACCTCGCTATCGGCGCTGACCTCATCTTCTCCAGTTCCGGCCAACTCCAGGCGACTGCTGCAGCTGTTCGACTTGACCAGCTTAAATTTGATGCCTGCACAGTGAGAGAAAAGCAATAATCATTTCGGTTTTATAGTTAGTGTCATACTGTCATTGTTGGGATTTGTATGCTTATCATGTACTGGGATGAAGTTATGAAAATCTTTACGTGGTACATAAAAGCTATGTTCATAAAAATGTCTGTGTAATGCTTAAAGATAATGTTTTAACCAGTTCTTAGCTTCTAACTTCAAATAAATTTGTATTTAATACTTGTTTTGATTTGATTTGATATACATATCTGGAAATCTCTAAATCATATTTTGTGATTATTTTTTAAACATTAAAATAATGAATAAACGTTTGTAAATATGTAGCAAGATTTTTTTGGAAAATCTTTTAAAATTGTAGTTCGAATTTTTTTGTTTTTTAAGGCTCATTATAGCTTTGCATGGATATTTTTCTCCATGTATAAGCAATTATGAGCTTAGGTTCGGACATGACAAGAACGATTCGATTTACCCACCTTGATAGGAGTCCTGCTGCTGGTCCTCCGCCGCCTGTTTGGTTTGCAATCGATGTTCGCATCTCTCACTCGGCAGGCACACATTGCAGGCCTCTATTTGACGGATTCGGGAGCGGGTTCCACTCCCCGTCATTGGCTGAGTGGTTTTTGTGGGCGGGGCAGTGCTGCTGGTGGCGGTCTTGTCCAGGACCCGACCTCCGTAGTAGGTGACAGTTGAGCCGCACTCCCTTATCTTGGCCAGCACGTCCTGAAGGAAAGAGGAAAAGATTAGTCGACGGGTTCCCATCAAAGGCTAATGGTCCATAAAGCCACACGCAAAAGGGCCGCACCCCAAAGGCTATACAGATACTAAAAAAAAACAGAAATTTGGCTTACGCAACGTTGCCAGAAGTTAGAGAAATTCATGTTGACAAAGGAATGTCTCCATTAAAAATGAGTTAATTAACTTTTGGTACTTCTAGTAACAATATGATGAGGTGTATAAGATTCTATTTTAAGAAATTGTAATAATTTAATTTAATATTACTTTAAAATCTTTAAATTAGTTAAGTAAAGAAAACAAAAACTATCTTTTTCATATTTGATAAAGCAGTTAAGATTACTTAATTTGAAAAGACTTCAATTATCATGAGTATAATGGAACTATCTCAAGTATGACTTGATAAGATTATAAAATTCAAGTAGTCTTTCATTTTTCGGGACCATTTTCGTTTCTTTCTGTATACTCACATTGCTGACGTAGTAATTCTCGCATATGTCCTGCTCCACATCGTCCTCGTACTGGTCATCCTGTTCGTCGTCCTCCTCCTCCAGATGCTCGCCATTCTCCTGCTGCTCTGAATTTCCCAAATTATTTTCATAAATTTGCCGATAAAGAGACTCATTGGCAGGACCTGTTCCCATGCACCAGGTGCGTCGGCTGGCGAATTTGACCCGAGCCTTGGCATTGGCAGCATTGCTATTGTGTCGTCGAACAACATCTTGGACATGAACATCCTTGCAGGCCATCACCGGTGATTCCTGCTGGTGTTGATGATACTCCCCGCAGGGGGAGCTCAAATCTCCGCTGGAAATTCCACTCGAGAGACTGGCATTGTCCCAGTGCTTGGCTTTGTGCTCCTCCAGTAGCTCCATGCCTTTGGGCTGTTCCTCGCCAGCTCCTCCGTAGCTCGTATCGATGGTCAGGTATCGGTAGCCCCTGGCCCTCCGGGACTTCGGGCTCAATTGACATGCAGATCCACCGAACTTTTGCTGCGACTGCACCAGTAATCCCTGGCCAGGAGTGGGCAGGACATTCTGCTCGAAGAAGCGACGCACATTGCGCACCGTATCGGGATCTGGTAGCTCGTCTTCGTAGAGCTCTCTGTTCACCCTTACAGGTTGGTAGAAAAAGTGTCTCTTGGCCGCAGCTCCTCCAATTTGTCTTTGCCGGGTTTTACGTGGCTGGGAACCCGAGGCATTTACCACCCTGGGAGGCTTTGGAGGCGGAACAGCCGTTGTCGTATTGCCACAATTAATCCCTACCTGCAGAGGCCGTTCAATCTTGGTCCTCACAGGCTCCACTATCACCACATTGTTATTGCTCAGCAGCTCTTGGAAACTATATTCTTGCAGGTACTGAATCAAGCCATCGAACTGCGCCTCCTTTTTATTTCTCGTGGAGAGGAAATTGTTGCGTATCAGCTGCTGAGACTTCAGAACTTTGTACCTTATGTGATCGAACTGATCCTGATCCTCATCGGCATCCTCGTCCTGTTCGGGAGCTGCCTTCACAATGGTGGCCCTTTGAGCACCCTCACCGAGCTCCACAATTTCAATCGAGGGATGTGGCATCATGCTGCAAAAATCATTGCCATTCGAGGATTTATCCGTGTTACAATGTATTGTGGTTTCTCCACCCAACTGGAAGTGAATGCCTGGCTGGGTTTCCTTTGCTGGCTGCTGCTGCTGCTCTGTTTTTAGGGTTTCTGGTTCATTGCCCGCCAGTTTGCTCCAATAGCAGCGGACTGCATCCACTTTCTGCAGATATTCATTAGCCACCTCACCTCCCGCCGAGCTAATTGTGCTGGCTATGCTTCTGGCACTGCTCCTCCTTCGCAGAGTGCCACCTAGACCTCCACCTGCGACCCCTCCACGGCCATCCACAACATGCAGTATCTGGGGTCGTGACATTTTGCCCCGGGAGAAGCTCGAATCGCTGCTGGAGGAGGGCAGAACCTTGACAGGTCGAGCCTTGTAAATTGGAGCACCAGTGCTGAGGATGCGATGTTCCAGCGGTTTGCCACTCGACGAGCTCACCGAGCGACGAA